GCTAGGAATTCCAGTACTATGTTGAATAGGAGTGGAGATAATGGGCATCCTTGTCTCGTTCCTGATTTTAGAGGGAATGGTTTCAGTTTTATTCCATTAAGTATAATGCTAGCAGTAGGTTTGTCATATATAGCTTTTATAATGTTGAGGTACTTTCCTTCTATTCCTAGTTTTCTTAGAGCTTTTATCATGAAGTGGTATTGGATCTTATCAAAGGCTTTTTCTGCATCTATTGAGATGATCAAGTGGTTTTTGTCTTTGCTTCTGTTAATGTGGTTTATTACGTTTATTGATTTTCGTATGTTGAACCACCCCTGCATTCCTGGGATGAAGCCTCCTTGGTCGTGGTGAATGATCTTTTTGATGTACACACACTTCTTAAACTGTGAGAAACTTTCATTTCATTAGACTGACCATTCCTGTAATGCCTGCAGTCCTACTGGCCTATCGAATAGAGAAAAGTAATTCAGAGATTTTTTGGGTGTGGCTGCTTCCATAATTAAGATGTTTAAAATGGTCTTTTTTTTTTTTTTTAGTTTTTATCCAAATCATACTATGGTCTCTTACTGTTATCTTTGTTCTGTTAGTAATAAAGACTTTATTAAAAATGCATAAAAGCCAGCAGCTCAAAGTATATATTCAAAGCTTTGCTGACTCCCTCAGGGCAGAACTCAGTTTTCTTCTTTGTGTGTGGGCAAAGCTATGCTCACACTTGCCTATTTGAGAGCCAGTTGGTTCAGGCCTGTGTTCTCCCAGGCCTGAGAGTTTTTTCTAGAGCAGAAGCCATTTCTGAATTTCAACCACTTAGTACAGTACCAGGTGTGGGATAGGTTCAGAGTCATTTTTAGTGGAACTCCTTTGAATCTGTCAGGATTGGCAATTTATTGTCCAAAAGTGCCTATTCATAGGAAAAAAAAAAGTGGGGGGAAAACACATGAGAAGAGACAACTGAGGACATGCTGCAGCAACTTCCAGGGACAAGTTAAAAGAAAATACATCTATGAGCATAGAAACTATTATAACTATAATTCCACTTTCCTGTAGAAAACACAAGAGGAGAAGCAAAAGGGCAGCCCTGGGAAATCAAAACCTAGAAGAACTTAGTAAATTAATTTTGTGTTTAATGGAAAAATGAGTCACTTAACATGACAACAATTTGGAAACAAAAATTGCCCTCTCAATAATACATACTTTTTATCAACTCTCATGAATATGAAAACAAGTTCTAAAGAGAAATAAACTTCAGGAAATAATTTACTTTCTTTTAAACCTTTGAACATAAACATCCTCTTGATAGGCTGAGATCCTTAGTTACTAATTCCAGTATTTTCACCATAATTATCTCCTCCAAGACACATAGCATCTATATAGAACCACATAGACTTCGAGATGGCTTTAAATAAAGGTAGTTGGGTTTGTTCTTTTCAGTGATTATCATACTCTGTTAGTTATCATATCCAGTTTAAGACCCTCCCCCTAATCTTCAGGTCTGTGTTTTTATAACATTAGTCAGTCCACTGATAGTTACAAGTAATATAGTCAAAAATACTGATCAGGGATGTTGCTCTTGGATTTGTAACCCAGCTTTACAACTCACTCATTGCTTGAACTTAGCAAGTTTATTTCACTAAGGCTCAGTTTCCTTGTCTGTAAAATACCATACAGGGATAAAATACCATCCTCAGAGTAATGTTGCAAGGATGCAATGACATATGTGAAAAGTACATAGCACAAAACCTGGCACATCATTCTCGGTTCCTATATTTCATTCTTCAGTTCATAATGATTCATCACAATTCATTTTTTACAAACCTAACCACTAGTTTTGGTGTCCAGTTAGCTATCTTCCTTTCTACCTCACCTGTTCTCCATCCCCTACCACTATCTCCACACACCCCATACTTTTTCATTTTCCTATTTAGGGTTATAAGGTGCCGAATCCTCTGGTCAGATCTATTGCCTGTGATTTCTAATTTATAAAGAACAGGAAGTATCTGAAACCAGTGTTGTAAGGCATTAGATAGCCACATGTTTTACTTGAAGCCAAGGTTTTCATAAAAAGCCCTTCAGGGAATGTAGCCTGAGGAAAAACTTTTAAAACAAATCAAAACAAAATTAAAAAATCTTGACCCCCACCACCAGTTAGGGATATAACCAAATGAAGCCTACTATAGACAGTTACTGGTCATAAAGAATTGAGAAGTCAACTCAAATGACGTGTACAAGGGAAAATCTAGAATCCTCACTTTTGATGATATCTTGAACACTGACATCACTGTCTGTTAAAGTTCCTACCATGTGACCTGGGCACTGTGCACCCTATAATCAGTAGTACATGGGTTGTCTCTCAATACACTAAGGTACAGGGTCGCTACAATCCATGTTAATTAGCTCTGCTCAACTGTCTGTACTTCATGCGTGAGGGAAGTAGTGCTGTTTCCCTGTGCCAAGGGAAACACTTCAAGTTATGATTCCTTCACTCACAAGGAAATGTTAAGTTCTTCATATTGTCCTTGAAATGCAAGTGCAGACAGACAGTGATGTTCTTGTCAAGGTGACTTGGTGAGGGGAGGCCTTTTCTGCCTTGCTTTCCTCTAACTTCCTTTAGTATTATAGTTTTCACATAACTCACCTCTATAGCATGTGCTGCTTGGAGGGCCCCAGAGTAGCTTCCACAGAGCCCAGGTATCTTCAGACAAGAGAAGACACTACACCAGAGCAATAGACCAGTGGGTCATGAATCCAAGTCTGGACTTCTAGATTTCTCAACACTGGTTCATGCTCTGGGGAAATGCTGAGTCACTATGTGTGCATAGTGACTGCATCATATGCCGTTTCCTGAACACAGTTATAGATCGCTGGTAGTCAGTATAGGAAGTGGTTTTTAGCCCTGTTGGTAGGAGATTAATATATGAGGTTGCTTGTAGTTGTGGCAGCTTTTTAAGGGGAAACAAACAGGGTAGTTCCTCCTAATCCTGGGACACATATGTTTTCATGACTGGCCAGAATAGTCACCATTGATGGGGAGGTTCCAGCTCTCGAGCTGCAGAAGGAGCTACTTTAGAACTGTCGAAAGAGCTGAGACCAGGAGGAAGAACCAGGCAATTGTTGGGCTCTCCTGTTCTACAAAAAGCAAAAGTAATCCTTACCCTGCTAAGAGCCACGACAAAATGAATTTCAGTTTTAGGGGCTTTGGAGGACCTGGAAATAGTTGGAGTGAACAAAAACAGGACAATGAAAAGAATAAATTAAGTGATAAATCAATAAGTCAAGGTCCTCTACAGCATTCAGAACTGGAACCTCAAGTGACAACCAGAAAAAATCTCTTTAAAGTGATTCAGAATAAGTCTTACTCAAGGATTAGTTGTTAATGACTGACTTTCTGGAATACTACATTATTTTGCTCTCTAAAGTGGTTTTAACTATCTCTTAATATTGACTTTCAGTGAAATATTACTATATTAAAGGCCAGGGTTTTTATAAGAGCAATCTCACCAGTCCCATATTCAGATCACGGATTTAATGATCAATACAGTAAAACTATCCACTTGGCAGTAACTCCTATTTCCCATACCTTCTTCCCCGCACTTGATCCCTTCCAATCTCTCTTCCCATTGTAGACAGATTAATTTTCCTAACATACACTCCTAATCATGTCATTTCATTGTGTAAAGTCTATTGTTGGCTTCTGTGGACATCAGAATAAAGTGCACTCTTGTGCCTTCCATGTGCATGGAAGGCTATCGTGACCTGATCTGTGTCTTCCACTAGCCAACGTTCCATCCATTCTCAGTTCCTTCTATTGCCCCAGCATTTCCATGCTCTTTCATGATTGTGACTTCCTTGGTCTGCCCCCACAGTGAGTTCCCCAGCTTGAAGATTCAACCCAGGCAAAAACCTCTGAAGGGGAATGGATTCTGCCTACTGTTTCCTCTCAGCTGCCCCTTGTCTGCACTCTAATTGCCTTGTGTAATAGGCCACCTTTCTCCCCTCCCCGAGACTGTGTCTTATTATCTCTTTCAAGGTTCCTAGTACAGAGAAGGTACTCAATAAGTGTTTGCCAAACAGACTAATGAGTAAGTGATTAAGTGTTTAGGTGAGTGAGCAAATTTGGTATATTATGGATGCTACAAGTTGCTATTACTGACATCTTATGGCCTAGAGCTTATTATAACTTCTTTCTTTAGTGATAACACATGTCATAAGGTCCTTAAGATTAATCCTTTTTTTGTAGAAATTAACCGGTATGTACTCTTCTGAATGTAAGATTTATCTTTTGTTGGCTTTTTTAAAAAGAAACATAGTATATAGGAGTTTTATAGCAAAGCACAACAGCCTAGTTTTCTCTCTCTCGCTCTCTCTAGATATATATATCTAGAGACATATAGATATATAGATATGTATCTATATATCACATGCAGGTGTAGCTAAATCTCTTGTAAAGATCTTAGTAATGTCTAAAGGAGGCTCTTTCTCCATTCAGCCTGCTTACTGTCATGTCACCTGAAGTGTGATTGCAACACCTCCTTGCTAAATTCAACTTACTTTCCTATTACATGGATCCTTTTCTTAGAAATGTCATAAACTTTCCTAGAATACTGGTCACATTTCATTTGCTACATTGAAAAGCACAAGTCAGTCCAATTTTTCTTCTCATTTAATGAACCTTTCCCCTATGCCTCCCATATGGCTATATGAAAACTATTGAGTCATTAGGTATCCAGTGTTCATTCCACCTCAGTACACATGACTTTGCTGGTAAGTTACTTTAGTTAGTTAGAGGCTCTGCCACACAGAGATCTCCCTACATGGATTTCTTTCATCAGCTCCTGTAAGACATTCCCATGGACTGTGAGTGCCTGCTGACTGCAGAGGGCCATACTCTGAGGAGCCTCGGGATGGGCTGGTAGGGACAGGAACAAGCACTGCAGAACCTGGTGTCACATCTGTGTGAGAAGGAGAAAGAAAGTGTCTCCTAACAGGATGTTCTTTTCTTTCAGCTGACATTTTACTATGGCACAACAGATCGTTGGTGTCCAGTAAAGTACTATGAAGACATCAGAAAAGATTTTCCAGAAGGAGATATTCGACTCTGTGAGAAAAAAATACCTCATGCTTTTATCCTCCGTTTTGGCCAGGAAATGGCTGGCGTGGTTGCTGACTGGCTAAAGGATAATCTGTCCAAAATATAAATACTGACACAGGAAACAAGCACCTATAGCCAGTATGTGGAGCAATAAATGTGCTATTCATAGTAAGAAAATGTTTAATTTTGATGTTTGATGTTAAAAAAGGAAAAGGTGAGAACCTCTTGGCTTAAAAAATGCAGCTCCCAGCTCCCCATGCTACATGCTGAAGGAACACAGTTGATGAATCATTCCATAGGGTTACAACACATTTTCCTAGAGTCAGGAAGCATAGTGATCTAAATGAGGACTGCTTTTTGCACAAGATGTCCAGTGGCACCATACAATGTATTTTGGTCAGCAGAATCCTCATAGACAAAAACAAAATGTAGGTAATTTTATTTGAGTTTCCTTGTAGCATAAACTACACTCTCCTAGAGGAAATCATGAAATTACTATGAGAAAGCATAAAAGAGATCAGTGAATCAGTGTACAGTCAGATACGTAAAGGGTGTGAGATCATGACAAGGACACACTTTTGTTCCAGTAGCAGATATTGGCAGTGGACTTGGGTTTCCTCTAAGGACAGAAGATGAAAATTAGCCCAAACTAACTTTGCACAGGTCTTGGCTGAGGTCATCCATATGACATCATGATCTCCCAGATGTGACAAAGAATCAAGTTCACCAGATATTACTGTGGTCAACTAACCAGAGTGTAATTGAAGGATCCCAACTCTACCTCCTGACTCAGGACAGTCAGCAGGCTCCGATCTGAGCCTTAACCTGCCAGGTCCCTACAGGTTTCTTCAGAGCCGGGAGAGAGGCACTGGGCTCTCCTGAATCAGATTTCTACCGGCCAACCTGCAGCTGCTCCTCCTGTGATTCTTACAGAAAAGCTCCATTGAAGGGCAGCAGCAAGCCTTGTACTGTGCTAGCCGCTAATGATAATAGTTGACTGTTCTTTTCTCCTGAAAATGTCCTAGTAAATAGTTTGAAAATGTGTTTAAATTGCTGAGTATTAACATAAATTGGTTCTCCATTTGTATTAACTTTATTTGTTGGAACAGAATTATTTTTGTTAATTAACCAAAGTAAGCTGTTAAATTATGTGAATTTGCCTTCCCTGGACACATGGAGGCCTAGAAGAGAAGAATTGTGTCTCTGGCTAGGGGAGGACTAACAATAGTGCTGCCTTCCCTAAACTGATTCCATCCTGAGACCTGAGGGGCCAATAGACCCACTGGCTGCAGTGGCAGTGGGCGATCAGTCAGAAGCATTTCATTTTCTACTGAAGGAAAGCACTCATGGTGTTTGCATGCTTTTAAGGACAATGAGATGTCCTTCCTCTCAAAACTGAAAGCCCTCTGATGAAAGACTAGCTCTGGTGCTGTGCTGTCAGGTACACAGCACAGGCACAGGGTTGCACACATGACCTTATTGGCATCTGCATGGGGAGGCCTTCTGCAAAACTGACGCTGGAAGCTAGGACTCACCTCTGAGTGCCTTGCATACAGGAGAGGTCAATGGCATGAAACCAACCATATAACAAGTAGAGTTAAATCAAACCTACTGCAATAAAGAGCAACATCCACAGCTGTTCCTTTAGAAGTTATTTTACCTTACTCTGTGTTTCCAGACTCTGCTTGTATGACATTGTATCTTATTTTCCTTTTACAGAGCTTAAAAAAGATACTGACCCTTAATTCCTGTTCCTCATCTAAATACCAAATGAGTTTTCAAAATAAATGTCTTACCAGCACTTAGAGCACGTCTGGCCTGTTATCTGTGCATCTGGGAAAGAGGGTACAATATGAGCAATTTGTCTACTTAGACTGAGCCATTAAAGGGAAAAGCCTCTTTCTCATTGCTTGTTTGCTTTGATTTTGGTTTTGGTTTTGGTTTTGTACTTGTTTTGGTAGTACTGGGTTTTGAACTCAGGACTTCATGCTTGCTAATCAGGCGCTCTACCACTTGAGCCGTGCACTAGCTTGTTTTACTCATTGTTTGTTTTGTGCAGTACTGGAGTTTGAACTCAGGGCCTTCTGCTTGTTAGGCAGGTGCTCTACTACTGGAAACATGCCCCCAACCCCTATATTGCTTTAGTTATTTTTCAAGTAGGGTATCACATTTTTGCCCAAGGTCAGCCTCAGACTGCAGTCCTCCTTCCTATGCCTCTCATGTGGCTGGGATCACAGGGACACACCACCAAGCCCAGCATATTGGTTGAGATGGGGTCTCACTAATTTTTTGCCTGGACTGGCCTCAAACCTTGATCCTCCCAATCTCTGCCTCCTGAATAGCTGGGATTACAGATGCAAACCACCACACCCAGCTCATTCCTTCTTTTAAAGAGTTAAGAATCAGATTCCAAGAGGCATAAATTCATTTTTCTCATTAAAAATTACACAAAAGACAAAAATTGATGAAACAGTGAGTGAGACACATTTTTCAGAAACAGTTCTGCTGTGTTTTCCAGTCAACCATAGGATGGTCTTTGTCCATGATTTAACCTGTAGAGTTGTCTAATGTTGAGTGAAAAGCATCACTTGAAGCCTCAGTCCATGTCCACAGTGGTTCTAGTCAGCTGTGGACCACAAGAGATGCTCCAGAGGCGTACTCAGCAGCTCTGGTGGCCTAGGCCCACAGCTGCCAGGACCCTTTCTGTCTGTGCCTCCACTCAACCCTCTAAACTATAGCATACATTATATTAAAACAAATACAATGCCAGATTAAAGAGACTGAAGAAGCATGACAGCCTTACACAACTATGGTTTAAATGTTTTTGTTAGAAAATAAATTATTGGGACAATTTGTACAACTTGAACAGCTGAGAGCAAGACTCCTGTGTTAATTTTCTGACTTCAGTGGTTGTATTGTAGAGAAAAAGAATATCCTTATTTGTACTGAGAATACAATTAATATCATAAGCACATGTCAGCTTACTCTCAGGTTGTTCACAGGAAAATAATGTTCTCTGTATTTGCAAATTTTTTGGAATTTTGAGATGATTTTGGAATTTACAAAAATTTTAATTATTAAAAAAAAAAATCTTGCGTCTGTCTCTTGGCTTTTGTTCTTGGTTCCCCCACACCCCAAAAAGTAAGTTTCTTTTAGACAGTAAATGGACACCAGGGTTCAGATCCCAGATCTGTCATTCATTAGGTTTGTGATGCTCCATAGGCTTCACACCTCTCTGAGCCCCCAGCTCCTCAACTCTGAAGCTGAGATGACATCAGGTTTTTGTTTGGGGGAGAATACAATAGGTTATATGTATAGCATAGACATATGCTTGCCTGGCCTATGATCAATGCTCTGTAGAATGATACCTAAAAGGAAAGGATGGCAAACTTACTTTTCCTTTAGTCTCTCCAATGCAGTTGAGGGCCCCAGGCTGGCTCAGTCACCAAGCCTGTAACTCGATTCTTGTAGTCTCAGTGTTTCTGGCTCCTGTGCAGGGGTGACACTTGCTCACCTGGCTTAGCTTTCTGGCCTCAGGCCACTTAGCCTCCCCACACACAGCTCTCACACAGCTGGCTAGGAGAAGATGCGAAGACCAAAGGATCTCTTAGAAAGCATGAAGCATCTTTCCTACTCCTGGCCTTCTGCAGGGAAGCAGGAGTGTGGACACACAAGCATTCCTTCACTTCGGGGTCGGGCTTTAGGAGAGGTTGGAGGCTGGGACTAAGTGTTCTCTGTGAACAAACATTTCCGAGGCTATAAGCAAAGTTTTCCTGAAGGAGTGGTGAGGACAGAAAGGCTTTTATGAGAGTCTTCCTTGCTTCCTGAGGGGCTGAGACTACTGCCTGTGCCCCAAGCAGCTGTGGGTCAGTGATCACCTTGATCCAGGTGAGGAGTGGCTGTGGGACATGGGTCTGGCTTCTCCCACCAGACTGAAGGCAACTCCATAGCAAGACTAGTGTCAGTGAATGTGATACCTGGAGAGGGTCCAGGGTTCTATAAAGAGAAAATTCCTGGGGAAAGAAAGGGAAAAGGGTCTACCTCTAGACCCAGAAGGACAGGTAGAACTTGGGTGGGTTTGGCATAAGAGGAAAGTGAGTACAGGTAAAGAATCTCCTGCATGATCAAAATGTCTCCTGCAGGCCTCCCAATCCTGGGAGGCTCTGACTATGCCCCTTGTACAGTTTACCATGGAGGGGCCATTACCTTGCTCAGGGTCTCACAACTGGTGGGTGGCAGAGCTGGGATTCCAGTGCAGACCTCTTCAGAGCTATTGCCTCATCCCCTTCTGTCCTCTGCATCATGCTGCCTCCTGGAGGCCACAGTGGGCAAACCTAGCAAAGGTGGTGGGGTGGAAAAGGGAGTCACTCAAAGGGCAGTGAGCACCCCATTGGCAGAGGAATAATAGATAGTTGAATCATTTTAAAAGACTGGAAGCTATAATCAGCTATCAGAGGCAAACACTGTATCAGCCAGTTTGCTGAGAGAAGGAAGATCACATGCTGGAAGTCTGCTGAGGCTGCAGTCACAGGCCAGGTCCCTCTGCCTTGCTTCCCTGACCATCACCTGATACTTCACACAGGACAGGACATGATAACGCCTCCTTAGCTCTCTGAACATGCGCTGTGCTCTTAAACCTTGGGAATTAGTGCCCCAGGCTCAATCGTGCCCATTCTCTACCCCACCCCTGAGACATGGCCCAAACTACCAACTGCTCCTGCCTCCCACCGCTCTCTCTCCTTTCTCCTTCCATCCCTCCTTCTCAACTTGCCTCCCCAGGGTCCACTCTGCTGAAGCACTTGCCATCACTGCACACACAGCACCTTTTCCGGTGCTCTTCCCTACCCTCACTACTAGCACTCCTTCCCATCCTCCAGCGGAGAGTTCCAAAAGATGGATTTGTGTTTTAGTCATCTCTTTACTTGCAAGGCTTAGAGAATAGGAGCTGCTGCTAGAATATAGTATAAATTTGATTTTCTAAATTCGTATTCTAGATAATCTAAATTTCTACCATACCTAACAGGCAAGTTCTCAAGAAATGCAGATTCTCACAGTGGGTAAGATTCACATCTCAGGAACCCTTCATCCTCAAATTGGACATGTCAGTAGAAGTGCTGGGCAGAGACACTTGCTTTTGTGTTAAGTGTTTTCCCAGCAGAGCTAGGCACAGAAGTCAGATAGATTCAAAAACATCAACTGTTTGCTTCCTGGCACCAGAGAACTACAAGAAAGCAAGGCCACTCTACCTCATGGTCCATTCACCTCCTCTGCTATGGCTATAACTGTTACTTCTGTTCTGCTATGGTTAGAAACTTCTGGAGTCTGGATATTAGCAACCACCAACTATGTGGCTTATTATTTGTTGATCGCTAACTCTGTGCAGCATCCCAAGTGAGAATTCCAGCAACAATACACAAGACTGCTTGGGGATAGTCTCATTTTGTGTTGCATTCCTCAAACATTCTGGCACAGGGGTCTGTGCTGACCTCCCCACTTAGGAGTGGATTTGCTTGCTGGGTAAGTCTATGGGAAAATTCCTCCTCCCTGGGATGGGAATGTGACCCCATGACTGGGCGTCTATTACAGCCGGGGGTGGGGGTGCACCTGCAAGGTCTCCCTCCCTCACAGAGGGCCTAGCATTCCCCCTGCTGTAAATCCACTCTACTCGGGCTCTGCAGCACATCTGTGCTTCCTCCTACTGGCCACTACAAAAGGGCCACGCACCTGCATATCATTAGGACTCAGCAAACCACAGCCTCACGGTTGACAGCTGAGCACTGGCGACACATCCCAGTGGACAAGTTTCTCTCCAGATCACTGCCCCTTCTGAGCTCATGAGTGCAGTTTCCAAAGGCACAGGCACTCCTGGCCTCTGTAATTGTGTCCCGCCCCGCCCTCAATAGAGCAGCAGTTGGGGCTTCTTCTACTCGACTTGTCTGGAAATGAGCAGCATTGGGGCAGAGCCATAACAGGGTGAGGGAGTCATCAGGGAAGTCAACTGTAGCCTCCACTTAGCATCTGGCACTGCCAGCCTTTCAGACTGCCCTCATCTGTGTGCAGGAAGTTGGATGAAATTTTAAGCGCCACCCCTATCTTTCCTCTGTCTGTAGCTGCTCCTTCTCTACTGCACAGATACTGGGGCAGGCAGTGTGGAGACTGAAAACCAAAAACATGATAAATTTACCTAAGATTACTATAAACAAAGCTTGACAAGACTTTACACTGTTCCACAGCAGGGTCACAGAATTTACACATTTACTGTATCTACCAAATGAGTTAGTTAAAGGGGAAATATGATTTTTCTTCCAATAAAAAATTCTTCATTTAGTAGTAATGAATTTAAGGACTAGAAAGAGAGTAGGTTTATCTTTCACCAGGATAAAACCCACTTAACTGCAGGAATTTGCATTAACATACTACAGGCAAAGCACAATGTACACAGGCCTGAAGTACCAAGGTGAAACCCCCTT